TTAAAAAAATAAATTAATTACCATAACTTTTAGCTCAACTTGCATGTTTGAAATTGACATTATTAAATAGAAAAAAATGTAATTGTTAAGATAAATATGCAATCAAGAAATTTTATAATTACTATTTACAGTACACTTATCAGAAAAGTTCTATTTTTTTACATTTTTATCGTAATAGATCACTTAAATAAAAATCATCGTAATCATTTCTAATTAACTTTTGGTGTTTAAAAAGATTCTACAATGGAAATATTCAGGACTTAATTAATTTTAATGATTTACTTTAACTAAATGAATCAAACAAAACAAAGTTGTTAAAATGATTTACTCAATTGAGTGTATTATAAAATTTGATTATAATTGTTAAAATCCACCATTCAGGTGAAACTAAAAATAATTTTTTTTTTAAATTTATGATTTATATAGCAACATATTACAAAAAAATTATAGACTGGTAGTAGCACACACAAATGGAGTTAAAAATTAATAAATTACAAAGTAAAATGATTTACTTTTGTAGTTGAATACTTTTATCATATCAAATCTAATTCGACAATAAATACTTTAAGAATATTAGATATTAATGATTTTAATTGTGTGTATGGAAAAAGCTGGTTAAGCTACTTTTTATTTGAATAAGGAATATTTTTTCGATTTTTATAAGTAATAACTTAAACTAAATACGAATTGTAATCATTTGACGTATCGTTAAAATAAGTAGGTCTAGTGAGGGTTGGCAAAATAAATCGTAGCCACAAAAAGAACCACATTGTAAAATAATATTAACTTGAATATAAATTTCTTCTCACGAGGGGAGACGATAGTGAGATAAATATCAAATGATTTGAAAATTTTATTCTAACTCAAAAAAAAATGCAAAATATTAAAAGCCACAGACGAATTTGAACCTCAAAGCGTGAAAGAACAGGTGTTACCCATTCGGCAACTGTTCGTTGCTCNCCCTAGGCGTTAAAGATCAAGGTGTTACCCATTCGGCAACTATTCGTTGATTTTTGTTGCATGATAAAATTGGCTATTTAAGCTAACTTAAATTTAAAAATTACTTTTTCGACTTTAAAAAAGTAAAAAAATTTTAATAAGTTTAATTTTGTATGTCTTATGAACTTTATTCTATGTCAATTAAATTATATAATATTCATGAAAGTCAGTGTATTCTCCTAATAAGATATTCTAAAATAAAATAAAATACAAAACCTAGAATTTTAATAAAAAAATAGCAAATTTTTGAATACGGTAGCCATTTGCGCATAGAAGATAGGTCGTCGGGACAATTTTTTTTTTTTTTTAATTCTGTAGTACATGTCATAAGCTTTAATTTGATATATATTTAAAGGACGCAGTATTTCCGGAACATTTTCAAAAGTCAAGTTTAAAAAGTTAGTTTTTGTAAAAAAGTTGCTATTTTAAATCCCCCCTGTGAGCAGAATAAGTGTTAGATTTTCAAAAAAAAATGGATATCAAATGAAAAAGAATTATCTAAGGTTTCAATATAAAAAAATATTATTTTGATTTGTTAATATTTGAAAAAGTTATGGGAGTTTTAAGTACAAAAAACATTCCGATAGAAGGTGATTTTTATCGCAAACATTACATTTTTTTTATAATTTCGACAGCCATTTGCACATAGAAGATAAGGTGTCGGGACAAATTTTTTTTTTTCATTTTATAGTACATAAAAAAAGCTTTAATTTGATATATGTTTAAAGGACGCAGTATTTCCGGAACATTTTCAAAAGTTCAGTTGAAAAAGTTCTATTTTTTATACAATGTTTCAAAGTTTGAACCCCCCCTATATAAGGGGAAATTGTCTAATTTTAATAAAAAGTATGTCAAATGGAAGATGTACTTATAATGTATTTAGAAAAAAAAAAATTGTGCTGATACATGCATTTTTCGAAAAGTTATAGCATTTTTAAGTTGAAAATTAAAAATTGAAAATCGAAAATTTTAACACAAAAATAGTGTTTTTTTAACTACGGCAACTGTTTACATGCAGAAGATAAAGTGTCGGGACAAATTTTTTTTTTTCATTTTATAGTACATAAAATAAGCTTTAATTTGATATATGTTTAAAGGACGCAGTATTTCCGGAACATTTTCAAAAGTCAAGTTTAAAAAGTTAGTTTTTGTAAAAAAGTTGCTATTTTAAATCCCCCCTGTGAGCAGAATAAGTGTTAGATTTTCAAAAAAAAAATGATATCAAATGAAAAAGAATTATCTAAGGTTTCAATATAAAAAAATATTATTTTGATTTGTTAATATTTGAAAAAGTTATGGGAGTTTTAAGTACAAAAAACATTCCGATAAAAGGTAATTTTTATCGCAAACATTATATTTTTCTTTAAGTTTCGACAGCTATTTGCACATAGAAGATAAGGTGTCGGGACAAATTTTTTTTTTCATTTTATAGTACATAAAATAAGTTTTAATTTAATATATGTTTAAAGACGCAGTATTTCCGGAATATTTTCAAAAGTTCAGTTGAAAAAGTTCTATTTTATATACAATGTTTTAAGTTTTGAACGCCCCCTATATAAGGGGAAATTGTCTAATTTTAATAAAAAGTATGTCAAATGAAAGATATACTTATAGTATATTTAGAAAAAAAAAATTTGTGCTGATACATACATTTTTCGAAAAGTTATAGCATTTTTAAGTTGAAAATTTTAACACAAAAATAGCGTTTTTTTAACTACGGCAGCCGTTTACATGCAGAAGATTAAGTGTCGGGACAAATTTTTTTTATTCATTTTATAGCACATAAAATAAGATTTAATTTGATAAATGTTTAAAGGACGCAGTATATCCGGAAAATTTTCAAAAATTAAGTTGAAAAAGTCAGTTTTTGTAAAAAAGTTGCTATATTAAATCCCCCCCCCCCCATGAACAGGTTAATTGTTAGATTTTCAAAAAAATGATATCAAACGAAAGGTAAATATCTAAGGTTTTAGTATAAAAAAAAATTATGTTGATTTGTTTATTTTTCAAAAAGTTATGGAAGTTTTAAGAAAAAAAATGAAAAAAATGACAAAATTTACCGATTTTTAAATTTGTAATTTTTTTGGATATTTCCCCCATTTTCGGGGAACGAGGGAAAATTTTTCAATTTTTAAGGATAATGTCTTCAACTAGATACGATTTGTAACTTTTGACGTATTGTTGAAAGAAATCGGTCCAGTGAGAGCTGAGAATAAGTGGCAACAAACAAAAAAAAAAAAATAAAAAAACACCATAGTAAAATTAATACCTTCTCAGCTTCACATCGAAGCTAAAATATGTCGAGTAAAAGAAGAATATAAATAGTAATTCTTTTAAAAAAATTTTAATAATCCATACATTTTTCAAAAACTTATAGTGTTATAAAGTTAAAAATGTAAAATATAAAATCAAAAATTTTAACAAAAAAATAGCATATTTTTTTACCCATTTTTTTCAATAATAATGTATATTATATAAGCTTTAATTTAAAGTATATATAAAAGTGTCAGTATTACCGGAAAACTTTCAAAAATTAAGTAGAAAAAGTCAATTTTTTGTGAAATAGTTGTCATTTTGAATCCCCCTTGTAGGCAGGTAAAGGGTCAAATTTATAAAAAAAATATACAACATTATAGGTAAATATCTCACCTATCTATAACAAAAATTTTTATTAATTTCATTATTTTTAAAAAAGATATGGCAAAAAGAAAAAGAAAAAATTTAAAAAAATCGAAAATTAGCGATTTTTAAATTAGAATTTTTTTTTGAGATTTCACCCATTTATGGGACACGAGGAAAATTTGTCAATTTTTCAGGGTAATGTCTTTGACTAAATACGATTTTGGATCATATGACTTATCGTTGAAAGAAATCGGTTCGGTGAAAGCTGAGAAAATGTGGTAACAGACACAAAAAAATAAAAAAAAAACCCAGCAAAGTGGCGTCGTGGCACAGTGGTGACGTGGCATAATTGGATCAAGTATAATGATATCTAACAGTGATTAAAATCACTATAAAAAAAAACGCTTCGATGCAAATCTTTAATAAGTGTTTAATTTTAAAAAATTGGTGGATTATTCCAAAAGCTACATGATCTGCTAGTTCCATATTAATATCCTGATTAAGATAAAGTATGTCGAATGAAAAAGGGATTATAAAAAAATTATGTTGATCCATACACTTTTCAATAAGTTATAGCATTATAAAGTTAAAAATGTAAAAAATAAAATCGAGAATTTTCACACAATTATAGCATTTGGTAGCCATTTTCACCGTGAAGACGAAATAAAGTCCGAAATTTTTTTTTCCATGATAAAGTATATTACATAAACTTTAATTTAAGTTTTATATATAAAAGTGTCAGACTTTCCGGAAAATTTTCAAAAGTCAAGTTGAAAAAATTAATTTTTTGTGAGAAAGTTGTCATTTTAAATCCCCCTCTGTGGGCAGACATATAAAAAAAATATACCAAATGAAAGGTAATGATATCATACATCTATATAAAAAAAGATTATATTTATTTGGTTATTTTTAAAAAAGTTATGGCACTTTAAGTAAAAAAAATTGAAAAAATTTTCAATTCAAAAAAAATTTTTTTTATTTTCTCGACCGGCTTATTGTGAATCGCCCTAGAACTACTGTTATACAAAACATTAATTTTTGATGATATAAATAAATTTAAAATAGAATCATTTTATATATTTTAAAAATTATTTAAAGATTAAAAAAACAATTTGCCAAAGTGTCAAATGACACGTATATTCTACATTTATAGAAAATAAAAATAACATATATGCTTAAACATCTGATGTATTATAATAATATACGTACACTTTTATAATTTTAGAGTTAACTAAACGTTTCCCATATCAAATAATATTTTACAAAATTTAAATTCGAGTTTTAACAGATTCGTGTTGATTGCCGTACTTCATTATTATATTTATTTATTTAGAATACATAAGATTTTCTTTAGAAAAATTTATTCCTGAGAATATCTTCAATATCTTAAGTGTGTAATTATTGATTTTATGTATAAATAATAAAATATTTTTTTTATAATAAATAAAACCCTAAATTGAGAAAAATATTTATTTAACATTTATTGAGTGCTTATTTGTATTGTAATTATAAGTATTCAAATGTTTCTTTAAATTCCAATTCTAAATTCAAAAAATAATAATTTTTAAGTCATTGAATTTATATTTAAATAATATATGTTATTATAAATACCTGGATCTATTGGTTCTGTTGGTGTTGGTATAAATGTTTCTTCAGTAATTGGATCAAATTTAAATCCGAGTTGAAAATAATTTTCTGTAATTACTGTTTTTATATAATTTTTAATTTTTTTGGTTAGGAATTTAATAAATAATAATTTTTCATCTTGGTCAATAAAGGCTTCATATTCTTGAGACCATTCATCCCATAAATCATTTGTATCACAAGGTACAAACTCACAATAGGATTTAATTTGTACTTGTAAAACTATTATTATGTTTTTAGAACATAATCTTACCATTTGTAATATGCTATAGTAAGTCGTTAAATCATCACGTGATATATTTTGTTCTTTTAATTCGTCAAGAATATTTTCTATTTTTTCTAATAAAGGACTTATCATAAAGAATTTATTTAGAATAGTCAATGGATAGTTATGTATGTTATCCAAAGCTTCAATTGCTCCTTTCATCAATGTTGCCATTGGAACAATTAAAATGGAGATTATGTTTATGAGTTCTTCTGTCCAAATTATTCCATTAAGATTGTCGTTTTCTTGACAATTTTGTAATATGTTGCTAATAACTGATGTAAAAAGATTTTTTATAACTTTTATATATGTGCATCCAAGAAATATAGACAAACCTCGTGTTTTTTGTTCACAATTATTGCCATTTGTTTTTGTTTCAAGCAAATTGTGAATATAATGTTTTTTACCGTAGTATTGTATAAAGTTGATATCGTTTAAATTTTTCCATCCCGAACATTGTAGTAACTTACGAAGTTTGTCTACTTTCTCTTTATTACACCAATCTCCTTTTGTATATATAATTACAAAAAATAATAAAATACATAAATGGATAAGTTTTAATAACAACATTGGAAAATAAATAATAATAATAATGATTGAAATTTTTCGGTTCAAATATAATTCGACAAAGTTCTATAAGACCTGTATTTATTTTGTTCTTTATAAATAGTAAGATAAATATTTATGATAAAACAACTTTCGTATTATAATAATATTCTTTTAGTTTTTTAATTTTAAAGCTATTATACCTCTTAAATATTTCCGATATTATTTCCAATAATAATTTACACAATTCAAAGTTGATGTTCTCAATTTTTAATACTAATCGCATTAATTTTATTTGTATTGTTTAGAAAAATATATTCCTAAGAATATCCTGAATATCTGTGTGTTAATTTATTAGTATTTTTAAATACAAAAAATAAATTAGTTTTTCTGTAATAAATTAAGCCCGATATTGATAAAATTACTCGAAAACAAAGCAACACAAATATTAACTGAAACAATAGTTATAGGAATTTTTTATTTAAGTACAATAGCACCTCATTAATCCGGACTAATAAGTGCTCTAGGTTGTCTGATTTAATGAAAGTCCGGATTAAACAAAATAACCAAAAAACATCTCTGTATTATAGATTTAAGAATATTATATTATACTAATTACTATATATGATATACAATATATATTGTAAGGTTTCAGCCAAACAGAGGGCCTACTAATTACCCACTGCCCAGGGGGAACACTGGACAGTGACCTAGTAGCCGCGCCAAACAAGATAGTACTTGCTGACGGAGCTACTAGGTTTTGATAAAAACAAAAAAAAAACAAATATTAATAAAAATGAGGGAAAAGTATAGAGAGAAAAATAAAAGAGGCCATGTATAATATAATAACATCTTTTTATAATTAATGATTAAATTTTATAATTATTATTTTAAATATATATATTTTCATATGAAAGAAGAAGAAAAAAAAAGGAGGTGCTTGATACACAAATTAAAAAGGGGGTAAAAGGGGGTTTTATTGATGTTGTACTTGATCTTGAGGAGTGCCGGCCCACCACCGGCCATAGTTGTGTCTTACGCCATCGTGGACATCTCGACGTTTTATTTTATAAAAAAAAAACGGAGGACAAAAAAAAATACAAAAAACAAAAACGTGGTTTTCACAAAAAAAACAGACAGCTTGTCGCCTCGGTAGTTTGGATGAGAAAAAAAAAATCTGTTGTAGCGGCATTTGTGTAGTGGCCGGTGATCGTGACGCCGGGTGGTGGTGGTGCCAACTTTGAACACGTTCATTGAGGGGACATAACAATATTGGTACAGGTGCACAGTGTACGGTCAGCTGATGATGACAGATATCGGACCGGTTGAAGTGGAGGTTATCATATACAAAATTATTAAAATACTTTACACCTACTGCACACACATCTAATTGATAAGATTTAAATATATAAAAAAACTCATATAAATTCTGCAACATTACAATATGTATTGCAACATGATAATAGGTCCAGCAAAAACATTACATATTTAATGTGGATAGAATTATGTATATATATAATAATGACCAAAATATTAATTACTAATACATAGTTTATGATAACTTTAATGACGGTAGATAAGAATATATGTACTTATGGAAAATTTGAGGAACTTGCTTTTATGTTTATTTTAGTCTACGGCATAAACTGCTTATTTTTCGTAATATTAGACAGCTGTCCGGATTAAGCGAAGTCCGGATTAATGAGGTTCTATTGTATTAGTATTACATGAAACAGGAACAAAAATTAAGATAACCTGCTACGGTATAATTTATTTATTGTTATGTCACCATTCAGTACGATATGATTAAATTATTCACGTTTTTAACCTACAAAAAAATCACAAAAAAGTATATAAAATGATAGGTAATGTTTGTAGTATCACATAGAGATGGAAAGTTTAGTTCATTTCTGTGAATAGTTCATTAGTTCATACTTCATTCAAGTGAATAGTTCAAATGAACTATTCTTAAGTTCACTAATTTTATTGATCATGCTGATATTATTTTGGCAATGAACTATTCATTTTATCACTATTAGTATAGCAGTACACAGTTCAGTTGTAGTTCACACTACTTATGGGCAATTAAGTTATAGACTAACCCTTAACCTGAACATCATTAACTAAAAAAAATCAATACCCTCATGGCTCATGTTGTCATTATCACCTAATTCAAGGTAGATATATTGACCAGTAGTCCTAAGTTAAATCAGAAATCTGATCTAATATTTGTACATAGTATGAATTTATTTTATTGTTAAACAGTTAAAAACCGTGTAACATTTTAACAATATAATTTATTTGTTATCTAATTGTAAACAGCTATTAACCATTTACAGTATTTCGAACAACGAACCACAGAGAATTTTTAAAGAAGTTCGCGAACTATTTCATTTATACATTGCTACCAATTTTTTTCGAACTGTGAACTGTTAAATTACAGGTACTGAAACAGTTCAGAATAGTTCATCTAAGTGGATAGTTCAAATGAACTATTCGTTCACGAACATCTCTAGTATCACATTTTAATACAAGTAATAAATAATGCATATACTTAATAAAAATATATCTTAAAATTAGTGTTCCCTCATGGACTATGCATCGGTATATAGTTTACTTTTAGTTACAATTCTATATCAAATCTAGGCCTTTTTACATTTTTAGTCTCTCAGACTAAAGAATTATTATTCATCTTATTTTCGGCCGAAAACTTCTTTAAAGATAAAAACATTTGATTCATAAAACATATTGGTATTTAATTTATTTATTTTTATTATACACCTTAACATAGAAAAAAAATTCATGATTATATTGCATTTTGGTCTAGTACTATACTTGTACATACATACATATCATTAATAGTGATTTCAACCACATGATTCATCACAACAGAATAATCAGTCTTATCAGGATAATTAGAGGTAAGTGAAACATTTATTTATATAATATATCTATAAGAATATCATCACCTAAAATTTTTTAGTAATAAATAAGTAGAGTGAGGTAGGTCGTCGAAAATGAACTGACTAAAAACAGTATAAAAAAATCAATTTAAAAAATAAAAATTTGATAAAATTTTTTTACTGAAAACTGCCATAACTTTTTTAAAAATAACCATTATGACACTTTTATACATATCTTAAATTAAAGATAATGTAATATACTTTATCATGGCAAAATAAAAATTCGGACTTTATGTTGTCTTCACGGTGAAAATAGTTACCAAATGCTATTTTTGTATGAAAATTCTCAATTTTATATTTTACATTATTAACTTTATAATACTATAACTTATAGAAAAGTGTATTGATAATACAATTTTTTTATGAGAAATAATATTTATATCTCTCTTTCATTCGAGATACATTTTTTTAAATAAGACCATTTCCCTTTATATTTATATATTATAAATATATATAGATATTTATTTGTTCATATATTACACTTATAAATCATAAAACTTGTAATCAGGATATAAATAAGGAAATCATGGAGATCATTGTGATGTTTTATGTTGGTAACTACTAATTTAATGATACGTTGTAAACTTGTAATTGTTGATAAGAAAAAGTATTGATGTTCGGTTATGATTAACGTGTGTAACATGCCTTAATAATTAAATTAAATATTGTGTTAATTTGTATTTATTAATTATAAATAATAAAATAATAAAGAACACAAAAATCATGTAGCTTTTGTACTAATCCATCAATTTTTTAAAATTAAACACTCTACAGATTTGTATCGAAGCGTTTTTTAAGATAGTGATTTTAATCGCTGTCAGATATCATTATACTTGATCTAACTATGCTACGTACCACTGTGCCGCGACTCCCCTGTGATGGGTTTTTTTTTTTGTCTATGATCGCTCAATCTCAGTACTCGCTGGACCGATTTGGATGAACAATACATCAAAAGATCACAATTTGTATCTAGTTAAACATATTACCCTCAAAAATTTGTAAAATATTCCCTCGTTCCCCGTAAATGGGGGAAATCCCCCAAAAATTACAATTTTAAAAATAGATAATTTTTGACATTTTTTCAATTTTTTTTTCTTAAAACTTTCATAACTTTTTGAAAAATGTATGGATCAATAAAATTTTCTTTATAGATACCTAAATACCTATGGTATTTACCTATCATTTGATATATTTTTATGAACATTTGACCCTTTAATTGCCTACAGGGGAGTTCCAAAATGGCAACTTTTTCACAAAATATAAACTTTTAGAGTTTTAAAGTTGAGCTAAAAATGTCATGGTAACAAATTCTACTTTTTTATTATAAACTTTAAAAAAATCAACTTTAAAGAACTAATAAAATTGATTACAATGTAATTTTGCACTGATTATTTTTAACATTTTAAAAATCAAAATCCCTATTAAGTTGAAAACAAATTTTTTTTTTTTGATGTGTAATTACTTATTTTTTAATAGTTAATAATAATGTCAAAAAATAAAAGATATAGAAAAAGTCTCATTGCAGATTTAAAAACAACGCGAAAAGTTGAAATGAAATATATTTTTGCTTCTGATGAAAATTCCTTGTAGTCCATTGTATTTATTCATAAATAAACAGTTTTTATTGAAAAGTATTGCATCAAGCCCTTTAAATTTTTATACTTTTTAAATTTATTATGCTATACATTTTTGAAAAATGTATGGATGAATATTATTTTTTTTTTATATAATTACTTTATATATCCCTTTTATCCGACATATTTTTTTTTATATTGGACAATATCCCTTCATGCAAGGGGTCAAATTTTAATCATGTGTATAAAAGTATAACTTTTTCAACTTAAATTATGATAATGTTCCGGGAATACTGAAACTTTTATATATACAGGGTGGAACGGATCTAACTGACAATTCATATAACTTATGATCTACATAACATTTAATACTTTTTTTTTTTAATCAATTTTTACAATATACAACTATATTTAAAATA